TCGTTACTGATAGCGAAGCGAAAAACAGGAGGAGCAGGATTTCCCCTCGAAGGAGCGACTTGATCATCTGCGGGATTCGGCTTCTTGAGGGCACTCTGGCTACCGCAATCAGCGGATGGTAGGACGGAATCCGGGTGTGGTCCACGGCACTCCGAAATTTCATTTCGGGGAAAATTCTATGGGACACGATGAAGGAGAGGTTTGACTTCACCGATTCACGGAGCTCCACATGGAGATGTCTGAGGTAGCGGAAGCTTGAGCCGAAAACACGCAGAGAAGTCATGAAAAACCGTCGGACGAAGAGATTCCGCATTGATCTTCTGCCATACCTGGAATCGCTCAGATGGAGATTTCCATCGTGATCGGCGAAGTTCAGAGCCAGGAAATCATTGTACCATTTGTTAACCGCCCCATGCGTGCTATGGATTCTGAGTTCTCCAGTTTTATTGTTCCAGATGGCATTGATCCGGGTAGTGTCGGACACCATGAGATGCTCCTGACTCCCGATTTGTTCTCCATCGCGAAAAATCCACAGTATAGCGAAGCTGTGTTTGGGTACCCTGAGGTTTTTGAAAAGGTCCCTGACTCGCGCATCGTAGCCCTTTCCGAATGCATAAATTATCGGGAAACAGCTGAGGCCGAGGTGGAAGCGATCTTCTCCGTTTGTCGTCGCGAATATCCTCGCAGAACGAGCCATCGTATCAAATGAAATACTCTTCTGTCCTTTCTCCGGGACAAGAACTTTGAGGTGCGACGCGACTAGACGCTGCACGAAGCTCGAATCCAATTCGCAGTCGATGTTGATCAGTACAGGTGCGTTCGGGAATTTGTACAAAGAGAAAATCCGTTCTATTTCTGCTTGGACGCTGTCCCCGAGGGTCTTGACGTGGCTTGCAGCTCGCTCGGGGATCCATAAGATGATAAACACTCGCAGCAAAGGCTTCATCCTTCCGAGATCATCTGCGAGACTCGCTCTACCCGCATATCTTTGACAATTCACAGCTATGATAGGAGAGTCTCGATTCTTTCAGGGGCTCCCGAGTTTGTGGACGGCAGAATGTATGTTGACGTGCATTTCTTCCGTCATCACCAGCGATGCTGTGCAGAGCTCTCGAAGCACACGTGGTGGAACCTCGACGTGTTCTGAGGGCTCTGAGAAAGTGGTTGGATCGAGCCGCCTTAACAATAGATGCTCTCAATCAGATCGAAACATGCGCTCGCTTGTGTGTGAACTTCCTATTCATTGCGTTAGGAGAGCGATCTGAGCCCGACTTCCGCAGACTGCCCATGGAAAATCTCCCGTTGTAGACCTCTGCCGGACTCACTAAAACCAAACCCCATTCACGCCTCTAGATTTCGATATGTTCAGATGAATGATCAAAATTATCTGACCGAGACGTCTCCGCTTGCATCCTGAGAAAGAGTCACGCCGTGTGTGCGAGGACTCAGTCTTCGCTATTCGGGAGTCTCGGAAGCGTCTGAGACTCTCATCCTACGATCCAGGCTCCCCAGAAAGTCGCTCCGAACTCGCATTCACCTCGCACGGAGTTTTAATTGGAACGACAACTAAGCTCTTAATCGCGAGAAACGCTGATAAGAGTCTCGGAAAAGTCTTCGAATCGCAAGTTCGGTTCACCAGCGTCATTGGCACGCCCCGGAAATATCTCGCGCAGAGGCGCAGAGTCGACCAGATTCCCCTGATCCTACCAAACACCCAGGCGGAATTTCTCCTGCTCAAGACTCCGAGCAAGAAAACTAGAACTTTCACTGCAACGATGAGCTTGCATAATCGCGAAAATTGTAGAAACTTCCCCGAACCCGAAAATTCGATCAGCGCCGGGCCCAGCTTGAAGATTTCCAAGTGAAACACCTCTTTTCAATAAGGTCGGAGCATCCGACCTCATCCGATCTTCTCAAGTGATAAACCTCTTTTCAACAAGGTCGGATGCTCCGAGATCCTATGGTTCACGGAGTTCTTCTCCATAGGTCGGCGCTAATAGGTAGCTCAGGATTTCCTTGGAAAAAGAGTCGAACAAGCGTCGATCGACGGTCCAGGGCTCCTCAAGATAAGCCTGCTACAGATGGGCGATTCCGCAGCAGCCGCGCGCTGATTTGGAGCGATCGCCTGCCAATCGATGCAAAACGTACGCGAAATCGAATGAAGCCATCGGCCAGAACTCTCCTTTCCAGAAACGCAATACTGCTGCTGCTGATATACTGGCGGAAGAGGGAGGGAGGAGGATACCCCCTCTCAAGAGCGACTCGACCATCTGTGGAGTTTCCCTACCACGACGAAACTCTTGCCACCATCTTGAGTCGTCTTGACTGAATGATGAGAGGACACCCGGTACAGTCCCATGTCCAGGGGACGCCATTCCGGAACCTCGCTCAGAGCTCCGAGGAATTCGGAGAGGTTCGACCTAGACGGCTCACGGAGTTTAACACGGAAATCCCATGGCGTCGATTGGGGTCTTCCCTCTCTCCGTGACTTTCTTAGCTCGATCATCTCGACCTCGAGTCTGCGGAGTCCTTGGCGGCCGATGCTCATTTTGCTCAATTCGAATTCGGGGTCCCGCCCGCTGATGTACGGAGCTTGTTCCTTCCGTACAGCATGAAGTCGAGAAAATGCTGCGTTCATAGGATCCTCTTTCCATTGACAGGCTCCCTGCTGATCGAATATCCACAGCACAGCGAAGCTATGCACTGTAACCCTGAAATATTTGAACATATCTACGCTCCGTGAATTCTCCCCTCGATTACTACAGCGACAGCACAGTCCCAAATCGGAGCGGTCGGTCATTTTTCGGAGGTCAGGAAGACTCTGTCATGAGACCTCACTTCGTCAAATGTTAGTCGAGAGGGCGCAAGGGTGAGGTGTGACGCGATGAGTTCCTGCATGAACCTGGAGTAGAGCCATGATCCGATATCGATCAACCGGTCTGTGATTTCGATCCCCGGAAGCACTTTTTTGATTTTTATTCGGAGAGTCTCTCTGAATGCCTCCAAATCAGCCATGGGTGGAAGATCAGCGCATTCGACGCTTGCTTCTTGGGCAGCGCTGAGGCGGCGGAATCTTCCTCTGAGAGCTCGGCCGCTGGAATAGCGGCTCATTATTGGCCCGGAAATGTTGTCCTCGCTTTGAGACTATCGAGTGTTAACTCTTCCCTCCCTTCCCCCATGTTTCCCCAGAGTTTCTTCTTCCAGGACGGCTTGAAGCATAACGGAGGGTTTCATTGATCCCTCTTACCGGAACATCTGAAATCTCGTTTCTACGATCGAGCTAATACCAAACTCTCATACTTTGTAAGGTCTAGTTCTGTTCGGCGGGTGAGAAGCCCGCCATCGATTCGTGGCAAGAGAATCGACGAATCGAGCTTCGGGGAGCGGCGCTGAAGCTGTCGTGAAGGATGCGACCGGCTTCCGGTATGATTTTCTGCGGCTCCTGGGGCGCACGCTTAAGCTTCTCGACGAGTTGAAAATATGTACCGCACAACCCAGCCTTTATAGCGATATCTCGCGATGTCGACCGCCGGCTGCACAATTCCGGCTTGGACTTAGAGAATCTTCAATCGTCACTCAGGGAAGCCGGAGATCAGTGGACTTACTCTGTTCAATAACCTCGTGTGTCGAGTCGGTCTCTACGCTGTTCACCTCCCATTGAATCATGACTGGGTCGTCCGGCGTGAGTCTCCTTTTCATGGAATCGACCGCAGGTCTGCATGAAGCTCGCCTCCTGATCCTCGCTCCCGCCGTTGGGCGGGGAAGGGACTGTCACGAACGACAATAGGCTTGTGGTGATCCTCCACTCTAAGATGGAGAACACGTCTATTCGCATCGATAGCTGGTATCGAATTGAATTTATTCACATTGTCGTTTCTAAGCGTTCACTCGGCGCGGCGGCTGTCCCGTGCGGCGGCTGTCCCGTGCGGCTCACTACAGTCCTCCCCCTCAGTGTTGCCCTCAAATTGACCTGCGCTCAAATGTTTAGCCACCGTGTCTTTCAGAGCGTCTCGGCAAATCCTGCTGAAGTGGCATGGGATTCGGTTGAGAAACTGCGATTCCAAGCGATGTGTTTTGCTCGTCGTGCAAGTTGGCCCGCTTCAGACGGCTGTGGGGGGGGGGGGCACGAATCTTGTCGACCTTCTCAGGTAGCGGAGAAAGTTCTTCCCCGGGAACGCAATGGCCAAGGAACTCGATCGTTGACGCGCCGAACCGACACTTCTCTGCGTTAACTACTACACCGTTTTCCCGGAGCCGCTCGAGGAGCGCTCTCAGATGCTCTGGATGCTGCTTTTCTGATTTGGAGGCCACTAGAACATCGTCGAGGTAAACGAACGTGAAGGCGAGCCCGCTGAGAACAGAGTCTATGAATCGCTGGAATGTCTGCGCGCTGTTCCTCAGGCCAAAAGGCATCCGGGTATATTCCCATGGACCGGAGGGGGTTATGATCGCAGTTTTCGGGACGTCCTCCAGAGCCATGGGTATCTGGTGATACCCTCCCACCAAGTCAACGTCGAGAATACCGTGCACCCGTCATAGTTGATTTCGCTGTGATTTGCGGCAATCAATTGATGCTTACCGGGGGCACCATGTTCGTCCAGCGTCGGTGGAACGATGCTCACTTGCGCCCCCGTGTCAACGAGGTAACGACGGCCAGATAAGGCGCACTGCACGAAGAAGAGCTTGCCCTCCGGTTGGTCGCCGGCCGCCTGATTGATCACTGACGGCTGGCCCCTCCATTTCCCGGAGCCGAAAGGATCCTTCCGTCCCAGTAACAGGGCATCAGGCAGTTCCTGGTTTCGTCGCCGAACCTGTTAGCGTGGAATCTACACACCCGCTGGCTCTTCGAAGTTGGCACGTTGCCCTGGCCATTCCTGCTCAGAACCATCTGACGGACGGCGTCCACCTCGTCGTCATCTTGCACAGCGAGGATGGCGGCGTGGCGGCGTTGTACAGAAACCTTATCTGCGAGTTCAGCGACGTCTCTGAGTTCCAGGTGGTCACAGGTCACAAGAAATCACCAGATCGCGCACATAGGCGGGTAGATTCTGCAGACAGTGGAACCGGAATGAAGGGCCCTCCGCAGCCTTGGCTTCCGGGCGATACAGTCCTAGCATTCGATCCAGAAGTCTCCTTGGGGTATCATCGCCCATCGAAAGATTCACGATGGCCGCGAGGCGCTCGTGCTGGCTCACCTAGAAGGAGTCCGAGTGCCTCGCCTAGGATGCCACGTATCGGGTCCCTGCTCCTGGCTAGTTGGCTAGTCATCGAAAAAGTCCGCCACCCTCTATTGCGTATCGGAGTCGAGGGTCGAGAGCGGTGAGGGCGTACTCGAATTTCGTCTCTTCTTCGGCGACTTTCCGCAAGCTGAATTGCGCTTCCCCCGTCGTGAAGTATACCGTGGGTTGCTTCGGCCAAAAAGGAGGTAGCTTGAGGGAGACCGCGATGACTCGCGAAGCGGCACCACGCGGCTGCTGCTGCAGGTCTTCCAAGGTATCCTCGAAAGCGTCCTGCCTCATATTCTACGTCCGGGTCATCAATGTGGTGATTCAACACTCCAAGATTGAGAAAACGTCTGTTCGCCTTGATAGCTGGTATCGAATTGAACTCATTCACATCGTCGTTCTGAGCTTTCACTCGGCACGGCGGCTGTCCCGTGCGGCTCACTACAGGCTCAGATCTGAATATGTTTCTGCATCGTATCGTAGGTCGACAGAGTAGCGCTGATAGCTTCGCTCGAACCCCAGTCGTCTATCGTTGTGCGCTGCGAAGCCATAAATTCTGGAAGCTGAATGGCCGGTACCTTTCCCTCACCTTCACGGACTGCAGAGAGGAATCCGCCATAGATGGATCTGGCGCTCATCGACGAAGACGAAGGCTTATCAGTTCCGATGGCTTAGCTGGAGAGCAACATCAAGGATCGGCCACTGGCGTCGATTACCAATCTTTGTGATGGAGCGCTCTGACAATGGATCCCATGTAATTCCATCCGATTTCTACGGTCAGATCTTCCGCCTCATTGTCAGAAAATTTTAATTTTTCAATCACTTTTTCTAACACATGAGGGGGATCTTGGGATAAGAGGAGCTCGAGGGTAAGGGAGAGAATATTATGAGCAACCTGAGCCTCCTCGCAGTTTTTGTCCCCTTTCGGATCAGAAAGTGAAGATATAAAGAGTTCAGGCAAGTAGCCAAGATCACGTCGCGAGATCAGACCCAGGCAAGATTTTGAAGACAAACTTTATTTCTCCTTCCATCGCTCTTAAATATGTATAACGATTAATTACACTTGACGGTGAAAATATATTATTAAATATTCAAATATATACATCAACTCGCAGACAGCTTCACAAGATGAGACTCTCTTTCTTCTAATACCAACTAGAGGATGGGTAGCTTCTCTCGCAGGTCGAACGACTACGTTGAATGCGCGAGAAGCTCATAGAGATGACAATGCAGTCTGACTCAGGGGGCAAGCTTTGGTAGGGGGCTTGTATACAACAAGTAATACGGCGTCTTACGGTCTGAGAGAGATCTTGTGTGAGGATCTTCCCCTTCGATGCATTGAACAAAGAACGCTTTCTGCGATCGGAGTCTCTCCGAACAATGCGAATTCCATTTCTACCTAATTCACCCTCACCATGATGGAGTCCATAAGGAAAGTCGCAATCGATCTAGACTCCAACGGAATTAGACTGAGGGTATTGTCGGCGATATGTACAGAGGGGAGGGGGTGAATGATCGTCGCAAGGATTTTCTACTCTGATGCTCCTATCCCAGGCAGGACCCCGTTTTCATAGATTCGTTTTACGAGCACAGGCGTGCCAGAATTGATTCGGTAGAAATCATCCATCCTCTGTCCGGAAATTCATGCCGATGAGTCGTGTCCCTTTCCTCTCGGATCCGGGTGCTTTTCGAACGGTGGACCACGACGCATGGCGGTTGACGTCCGGCAACGGTGGCTCGCGAATGACTAACATGACTGACTTCCTTTTGATTGTTCCTCATTGTTTACATTGAGAATATGCGCCCCCAGCGCTCGAGTTTTTGGCGAGAGATCCCAACATCGGGTGCGGCGTATCCGCTCTCTTCTCAGCATTCTCACCCGCTAACACCACGACGCAGTGGGAATGTAGACATTTGGATGAGCGTAATGCGGCGGCGGGCGGAATTTCTGATATGTGTGGTTGTGGACAGAGTTCGGTGTCTGGTATTGGGCGATGGGGTGGTAATTCTTCGTCGAGAGAACGTCCAATGAAGGAACAGACTTCGGACGCTGAAGATTCCTCGCCACAACCATGCGAGTTTCAGGTGGACCACAGGACAGCGGGACCTGAAATCCGAATCATGGGATGTCCTCAAGTGATGTCCGCGGTCTTGATGCGGGGCTTCTAGTATATCCGATAGCATCTTTCGAAAGTATGTGAGTATGAGTAAGTCATCCTCCGCTCACCTGGTATCCGTTGATATCCGTGGGATTTTGCTCCGACGGCAGAAGAGTCAAGTATCGCTTATTGGGCTCATCGTCGACGGCCGTGGCCAAGGAGGCCCGTTGAACAGTAATATCCTTGGAGTCGTCTGAGGAGGCACCGAGAAACTCGAGGGATGCTGGCCTTTTCGTTCTCCTCAGCGTTGAAAGCTCTGCGATGAAATTTACCATTAGACCCAGATATCTAAAATAGGCGGGAGAGAGCAGTAGGGGGTGCGGAAACTTGCGAGCGAACAGCTTCCAGTTGAAGCAGCAGGTGTCGAATTTCGAGTTACGTTGCGGGAAATTCGGCTCCGATCGGATAGCTGAGCTGTGCGTCTTGGAAGAGTGCTTTCGAAATATTGTGATCGAACGAGTGCATAGAGTGCGGCGGAGCCCTTTTGCCTCACAATCGATCGATTTTCACAGCCCTCGAGTAGAGCCAACGACTTTCCCCATCACTGGAATATCGGTCATCATACACATATCTTTCGATGAGCCATCTCCTCCAACGGAATGCAGAGCTCGATGGGTCCTGTATTCGACGTGCGCCCTCAACCACTGTTTTTTTCCGTTCTCACGAGCTTAATAGCCGCTCGGACTCACAGTTTGGAAATTATTGGGGAAAAGACCGACTCGATCCGGTGATTCGAAAGATTGTGAGAAAAGTAATGCGTGCGCTGCTGGTGAGTCTTGTGCTCTCGGAGTGCGCCTCCGATCTCTAGTACCTTTCGATTCGTCCGAATTGATTGCACTCAAATCAGAACACGACGATGACTTGGATTCTTCCTCGAGAACCCGTTGAAGTTTTGCTGTCTTCTCCATCTCGTCGCTTTTGACTAAAGCGGACGTGACGACGTTGTGATCGAGCCATGCGTAACGCTGGCTATAAATCTTTCTCACGTCATCCACCTCCGTTATGGTATCCAGAGAGCGAGCTCGAGAGTAGCTCGACAATCCGGGCGGGAAAGATAGCACCGAGCTTGCGGACGACGTCACCGAAGACGGCTCGTACGCGAAGTTGTCGATTCCGATGCTCAATAGTGGAACCGAGGTGAGACGAGGAGACTCTGAGCGCACACATTAGAAATTCCCTTAATATCTATTCACGAAGCGAACCCTTCACTCCTCCCGGATCTATCCCGGAAAATATCTGCTCAGAGATCCCGTCGATGAGATTGAACGTTGAGGAATACAGCAAACTCCACGAGGTGGAGAGCTGGGAAACGTAGACTCACCGAGAGGCTTGTTTTGCTGTCCTGACGGTATAATGTAGTTCTGCTGCGTGGGAGGCATGTACACGGTCAACGAATTCGCCGCATTGACCAAGTTCTCCAGCGACGCAACGATATGATAGAACTTCGGTCGCTCCTCTGGGTTGTATCTCCAGCAGCACAACATGAGCTCGTACATCTCAGCCGGACATCCGACAGTACACGCGAGCAAGCCGCCGCCGCGAACAAAGTTCAGGACGTCGTAATTGCTCATGGCTTGGTAGGGCTGATGACCGAGGGACATCACTTCCCACATTAGGACGCCGAAGGCCCATACGTCGGAGCAGTTGGTGAAGACACCGTCCACCAGGGCTTCGGGTGCCATCCATCTGGAAATGGAAGCGTTCTTTCCAGAGACAATCCTGGGGCGGAAGGTCTCCCGGAAGGGAAGGACCGAGTCGACGGGAATTCGGGTCTGGACCTAATCACGGGTGCCGGGAAGCAATCGATTCCGCGTCGAGCCCGCATGAAAGACCTACCTGACCGGCAGAAGACCTTCGCCTTCTTTTCTGTAGTAGTCGCTCTTGTAAACATCTCTCGCCAAGCCGAAGTCGCCTATCTTCACGACTCGCCTGTCTCCGTCGGTGGAAACCAAACAGTTGCGAGCAGCCAAATCGCGATGCACGAATCTCATTTCTTCCAGGTACTTGCAGCCTTTCGCTATATCGACGCAGATGCCGATGAGGTCTTCCAGCGACAGGCTCGGTTCACCCTGTGACGGAAAGCAGGCTTGATCAACTCGGCACCACAAGTGCGTTCTATTTATCAGTAGGGAATATAAAACTGCAAAAAAAGCAGATGAGGGCCCTCACCTTGTTGCGACAATTCCTGAGAACGGAGAGTAGGTCGCCGCCGTCCATAAGCTCCATCACTATGAAGCTCATATCGTCATCGAACGAGATGCCCAGGAGTTGGAGAATGTGCGGGTGCCGGAAATTGCTCATGAGTTTGGCCTCTTTGAGGAACTCGTGCTTCTCCATTTCTCCGGCGCCTTTCCTCAGAGTTTTTACTGCGATTTTCTGCGCAGTATCTCCGTATAGCACTCCTTCAAATACTTCGCCGAACGCTCCCGATCCGAGAAATTTCGTCAAGCGGATCTGATCTCGCTGGATCATGGGTAACGACGAGAGCTCGGGGTCCGAGAGTGTGACTCCGCTGCGGGGTGGGATGAAATGCTCTTCATTTGTACTCAGACCGTAATTCGCTTTCGGAGCGATGGATCGATCTTGTTACTGTGGAAAACTCCGAAATGAAGCCGGTGAGCTCACCAGAAGTATAGCTCGTTGTGTTGATGAACGAAGTTCTGGCAAACCGGGAAGCGGTCTATCCTGACTAGGCCGATATCTGGATTCGTCGTTTTCGTCTTTGGTTGCAGCAGCTTATGAATTACAATTGCTCCCGAAACTATCAGCAGGAGAACGCAGACGAAGACGACCGTCACAATCGATTCGAAGCTTGGCTGATCCTTCGAGTAAGCGACCGGTACGTCGGGAATACGCAGCGAATCGCTCTGAGACCAAGCTGAGTGACCGGCAGAGTTGGAGGCCCTCACGCGGAATTCGTAGAGTTTCTCCAGAGATAACCCACTGCCCTGGAAATGATTGTTCGGCCCCCTGTAGAGCTCAGCCCACGCTGAGGTCGTATGATTGTCGACAGTCCTGCGGAGGAAAAGTTCAGGACCGGCTCAGAATCGACGCTCAGAAAGTCTGAAGTATGCACACGATCTTCCATCTGTTCCCATCACGCGCGCTATCAGACGCAGCTCACCTATACTGGAGTTCATAGTGCAGCGGGCCGTTCCCGTTCGGCTGTTCAGGGCTTTCCCACGACAAATTGGAGTTCACTTGGAAAGTTGGCGATCCGGGAGGACTCGGGGCTTCTTCCAAGGTGTGGAAAACGAAAGATTTCCCACTGTCCACAGGAGGCCACACGAAGTGATTCATTACCGCGCCTTCTGAGCTGAGATACGATATGTGGAGTCGGAACCTGCGGGAACGAAAATTTGGTTCAAGCTCAGTCCGGGCATCGTCGAAGACCTGAAATTTTTAACACTCGTTGTGGGGGAGTCAATACGCACCAATACTTCTGATTGGGCTGGAGATCACTGATCCTGAAAATGTGCTCGTGGTCCGGTCTGGTGTCTTGGGATGATCGGTTGTCTCTGACGTGGTCCCATTTCACCCCATCGAGAGAATACTCCAAACTGTGCCGAGATTGACCTTGTTTTCCGGATTTCCACTTCAGCTCCATCTGGCGAGATGAGACATTCACCGCCCTGAGGTCCGAGGGCGATTCGAAGGTTCTCCCCAGAACTGTACTCGGCCCGCTTCGCATTCCCGGTTTGTCGGAGTTGATCGCGATGACCTTCGAGGCAAGGATGTAGGCGTTGTCAAGGGTATTCGCATCGCTGAGCTTATGGACAGAATCGCTGATGATAGCATTCGGCGGACTCCTTCTGGAGCTTCACTTCTGCTCACCTCGAATCTGTAGGTGGTGTTCCATTTGAGGTCTTCGATTGTCCTGCTGAAGTCGGTGCCGAATCTCTTATTCGGAATCACGGTCACGTTATGGGGATGAGTAGAATTCACCTCGCTATAGCGGAGCTCGAACTGAGGGGGTCGTTTCGTGCGACTCGACTCGGTCGCCCAACGGATCCCGATGGAAGACGGAGTCAGAGGGACCGCCTTCAGATTCTTGACAGGTTCCGGCGCTGCGGATGGAAAACATTTTCGCTTGCGTTCTCGAGTTCCGTCGAACGTGCGCGAGAATCGAGCATGCAATTTCATAATTTACCCACCTCCGTCATCTGTCGAGAAAATCGATGGCGAAGACGGTCCGTGAAGGGCCTGGGTGTAGGGATCAATGTACGAGTAGGTGACGGTATAATTGGTGTTCGGTGTCAACCCCTCGATGACCGGAGTGGCAGAGTCGGTGGTGAACTGTTAGGGAATTCGAGATCATTGCGATATTGTCGATTTGGACCAAATTAATCCGAGGATATTGAGGCAGAGAGAAATTGGAATTCGATCGTGTCCGAGGAACATTGATGCCTGTCCGTAGCAATTTAATGTTTTCTCAGTGTTGAACGTGAGAAGGGTAGCTCATTGGCTATGATTCAATCGAGGAAAATCGCCAGGACTGATCTCGCAGGGCACCGCCGACGGAGTCTTCGGCAAACTTCGCGGGAGCATTTTGAATACGGTGATAGGGAGAGTCTCTCGCGGAGAGAATTCCGATGGACGGGTGGTCATGATTCATGATGGAGAGGGAGCCGGTGGGAAGGGCATCGTCGGTGGCCGTATAGCGAATAGCGAACTCGCGGAGCGTCTGCTAGCTCTGCGCTTGTCACACCCGCCGAAGCTTGTTGTCGTTGTTGGCGTCGCCAGTGTTGTTGTGCATCCGTCGAATCCTTCTCCGCAACCTAGAATTCCTCTCTACGACAACGACAGAGGCAAGCGGGCCGTCACAAAGCCGGAGTGGTCACTGTTCCGTGCCAACTCCGGGATAGGGATCGTTAGCAGCGTTCCGGGGCTATCGTGTCGCTGGTCCGGTGGAGCGCGGTGAAAATCTGTGCGCAGTTGTTACTTCTCAATCATGGCGTCGGAAAACATTTTCCTGTTCATCCCGAACATGATCGGCTACGGGAGGATAATTTTGGCGTTGCTGTCGTTCTACTTCATGCCGTTCGACTACTCAAGAGCCTTCTGGTGTTATATGCTCTCGGCATTCCTCGATGCCTGGGACGGTCATGCCGCGCGGTACTTCAATCAGAGCACCAAGTTTGGCGCTTTGCTCGATCAACTGACAGACCGCTGTGGAACGATGTGCCTCCTCGTTACCTTGAGCCACTTCTATCCCAAGTACATGTTTTGGTTCCAGCTGAGCATGGCCATCGACATCGCGTCCCATTGGCTGCACACACAGGTGGGTTGGCTCGCCGAAATTGCCGAGTCCGCGCAATGGTTTCCGTCCGCCGACTCCCACATGAATTCCATGCCTTCAGCATCAAACAAAATCTCTCGAGCCCCTCGGAAATCCACCGAAAGAAGCTGTGCTGACTCTCCTCCGATTTTTCGCAGGTATCTTTGATGAAGGGAAAGACTTCCCATAAGGATGTACAAGGCAACTGGCTGCTCCATATTTACTACACTTCAAAACCGGTTCTTTTCACGATGTGCGTAGCCAACGAGGTTTTCTACATGTCTCTCTACATGCTGCATTTTATCGAGGGAGTGAGCATCGGTCCGGTGGGATTTTGGAGGTTGTGCGTATACATCACATTCCCACTCGGTGTGTTCAAGAGTGTCTTGGCTCTCCTCCAAATGGTTGAAGCAGCGAAGGATTGCGGTAGGCTCGACGAGGAGGAGAGGGCGAAGGCTCAGCGAGCGGACTAAGTTTAGCCTCTGAGAATGGGGAGTTCGGAAGTTGCTGTGATGAACACCGCAATCAGGTCTCGTCCAGCCAGGATTACTCTAGTCATCGTTGGACCAAGGAACAGCATACGTCCCTCCGGATCCGACTGATCAAATATTTCTTCGAATCACGAGTTCCTCAACGACCTACAACTGTCTGTCTCGTCTCAGGAAAATTCATAGTCCCTTGCGAGACCCATGGGCACGGCAATATCCTTCAGTATAGAAGGAACATGGAGCTCTTACATAGCTGAGGAGAATCTTCCAAGAGGGAGTGGAATATCGCCTATCGTATTCTCCTTGTACCCTTAGCATTCCTCGGTTCTCACTATGAATGAATCTTCTAGCATGAATCTTTTAACATTCCACGCTATCTGTATATCTGCTGGGAGCGGTCGATGCATAGCTAAGGTCAAACCTGCCAAATTTTGGCATCAATCCATGGAGCTTTCTATAGATTATACAAAAACGGATTGACATCATTGATTTACTGAGGCATCGAGAGAATGATGTATGTGATAAATAAAACGAAACCCATCGTCGGCCGAAGACGAGCTCTATAATCCCAAGAAGTGAATATCTTCAAGAAATATCTCACCTTCTTTTGTTGGCAGATTTCAGCAGAAGACAAACAGCCTGTTCTTTTGTACACCAGTACGTAACGGATCGTCGGTCTCGAAATATTCGAGCAATGCTCCGCAATGTCTGGAGGGAACACCTCGACTTGTAGTGAAGCGGACTTGTCGATCACCAACGCAGGGGCTGTCGTTGGAGCTCCGATCTCCATGCATGACGAATCTGAAGAGCGCCAACACGTTCAGCTGCGTGGCAGCAGAATTAAAGCACGATGGGCTCTTCATTGGCTCATTTCGTTCGGACTCACCCGGGTATCTCTGTTGATTGAGCGCTCGTATGTTACGAACCCCGTGAGCGATTTTCGCACTCCCGATCTCGGAACTCTCCTTGAGCAGACTGAACACCTCCTCGCGGCCTTGTTGACTCCAGTAGACTCGCTGCTTGTCCACAGTTATGTAGTCTGGAGGGAGACCTTCGACGAGGCTCGCATTCGCCACGAGGGTGCATGCACAGCCGTGAAGATCGGCGCTCCAAATATTTCCTGCGGGAAGCTCTCCAGCATGAGTTTTTTATCACGTCGCAGTCAGCACTGGGATCGATATCATACGATACTCACCGGTCTCAGCGTCCGCGAAGTAAACGTAGCCCGGAGCTTTCTTCGACTTGGGGTCCAGCGCCACAACCGAAGCTTTCAGAGCCCTGGCTGAGCATTGGCAATTCGAAGCGCGACGACGCCTCGGTGGAAACAGGGGTCTCTGATTGGAGCCGTCGATCGAGGCGAGCATGATTGCAGCAGCTTCCCTCGGAGTTCTCGAAATCGTGTAGATTAATGTGCTGAAAATCGTCACTATTCTTAGTGGCTCTCCCGAATCATCCCCCACGCGAATCCCCGGATTCCATCTGTATTCCCGTTTGCCTTAAAAATTTGATCCCATTCATGACATTCCGGATGCCTCACCTGGTGAAAGGATCTGCTTCCAGCGAGTTCACGTGCTGTTTCGGCAGCTCGAGGATAGTTGTGACGCTTTTCCCGTTCCCCAGATCGAGCGCGGAAATTTTCGAGACCGATGCGTCAACGTCGTATTCCGCCCAATACAGCTTACGAGCGACCCAGTCGATTGTTAGGCATGTTCCAGTTTTCTTAGGGCTGTGGATCTGAGATTGAGGGATTTCGGAAGTCATCGATTATAATTGATTCTATTCTATATTTAATAGATTCTACTCTGGACGCGGATTCCGAACTTCTCGGGACCGATTCGACTGACACACTCGAAAGTATCTTCGTCACTATTCCAACTTACCACCGTAATATTGCTTCCATCCATGTCCGAAGCCATAATTGGGCCATTCTGTTCCAGCCAGAAAACTGTTTTATCCAAGTAGGCGATGCCGACCGGATTCTTAACCTTGTTGGAGACTAGAGTGACATTTCCATTATCCACATCGCTCACTTGTACGGAGTGACGATCTACGACGATCAGTCGCGGAACAGGCTGCTCTTCATCGCTGTTGATCGATAAAGGGGGCGACGCAGGCCCTTCTCCCGCCGAAGTGAAAGCGCTCACCTGAAATTTTTCCACCGAACATTATCCAGCATATCCCCGAGTACATGCACGAGGACGAGTACATTGCTTCATCAACCGTGTTCCCCCTCCTTCTCCGATGTCTACTCACTTTGAAGAAGTATGTGCTATTTGGAACCAAGCTCGTGATGCTGAATGATTGTCCGACCACTCTGCGATCCTTCCACACGCTGATCTCGCCCGTTCCATTATTCTGGTACCAGCAGTTCAGAACGTATCCCAGAATCTTTCCATTGGGATGCTCGGGCTCAGACCAGCGGAACTCAGCCTCGGGACTCGAGTCATTCGAGGGAGGGAAAGTGGTTCTGTGCGCAATGAAGACTTTGGGATTCTGAGGAGCTGTCGGGATGCTTTCGGGCGAGCGCACTTCTCGGCAGACGCTCTCGGTACTAGCCCAATGGGTGTAGGCTTGCAGCGAGATCGCAAGTTTTGTGTAGGGTCGCAGACTACCAGTGAAGAGGAACCGCTCATTGGTCAATATGTGTACGGGCTTGGCCAATTGCATCGAGCAACACTGAGACTGGTTCTCCTCGCAAGCACTGATTCGCAACTTGTAGAAGACGTCCACTTGCGTGGACTGTTCTTTCGGCCAGTAAATTGTGAAGTTTTGCCAAGAGCCTCGAACCTGACAGAGAAACATACCCAGTATCAGCAACAGATCACCTCGACTAGGTCGGAACCAGTGGAAGCAAGGGTAGCCAACGTCACTTACTTTGATTTCGTTCACATCGATGTTTCTCGGAATCACCATCATTTTATTATTCTGGCGGATCTGCTGAGCTACAGCCAAAGTCTCTGTGAAGTCCTCGTGCTGTCGAGTGTTTCTTCTGCTGGAGCTCTGGAAATCAAAATGAGCTGGATAGCTCCCGTTCGGCAGCGTGACCACCGGTTGCAAGCGTCCGTCGAACCAGAGGAGACGACCATCCAGATACATCGCAGGGCCTTTCCTGTGGGTGACGTGAATCCGTGAGCGTGGGCGACGATTTTCTCACATCCACCTAATCACTCTGAGATTCTATCCCGAGGAAATCACTCACAGTGAGCTGTCCAGGAGCGGGACAGCCGGTGGCAGAGGATATTTCTCTTCCATCAATCGGTCAGATCTCACATGAACGCCTTCGATGCTTCTGCTAGTCCAGTAGGCTACTCCCAGCTTCGAATCATAAGCAACCCCTTGCACTAAAAGAATTTCGAACCTCACAACCAGGTCGAGCGGGGAATGGATCGTCGCCTGAGCCAATTGAAGTAGGACATAAACTACATAGAATACTAGTCATCATCGTTTTTTCCCCGCTCACCGAGTCGACCGCTGTTTACGTGATTCTGATAGATGACCCTCAGCGACTCGCCGCTGAGTTTCGAGGTGTAAACGCCGTACTGATCGGCCCAGACCAAAAATCCGCGGGCGCTATCCACCGCAATGGAATGTGGTACGAAGTTTTGCACGACCCTCTCGATATGAGAACCGTCGAAATTGCATCTGAAGATCTGAGGGCGGAAGACGAGTCGTCTTGAGACAGAATGCCGAGTCGAGCCTCGAATCTCCAGATTCGTTTGATCGAGGAACTCACCGCTCTCTTATCGAGTGATCCCCAATAGATTTTCTGCGCGTAGCGTTCGATGGCCATGCAAGTGACGCCCGTCACGCTGGGAATTTCAGAGCTCGATCCCTGGTTGAAGTCCACACGGATCAAACTGGACCGGTTGCGTCCCAGGAATAGAGTGTTCTCGTACCACGCGATCGCTGTCGTTGTGGTTTTTCTAGAGGTTAGCCAGCTTTCAGCGAGAAGTCTACGTGATATCTCTGATTCCTCGTCATCTTACCGTTCACATCGCTATCCTGGACGAGTCGCGGACTGACCAACTGTGAGACATGGTCTCCCATGACGTCAGATGCGACAACAGTGCGTTCGCTCCCCGTAAGACTCCAAGCAAGTTGAAGAGGACTCTCTGAGAAAGTCCTTCCGACGAAAGGGGCGGATTCGGGACCGGGAGCGCCCAGATGATTGTACGCTCGGACCTTGATGCTGTACAGAGTATTGCTTTTGAGGGCTTTGATTGTCGCTTGCCGGTTCTTGAAGTTTCCCTCGGGTTCGAACTGTTTACCCGAGAGTAGCTCGGTTACGTCCACGGCGTAGAGGAATTTCTGGAAAACACCTCGACCTTGCCATTTGAACGGATGTGGAGCATCCCAAAGTACTCTGACAGAGTCCACAGAAAATAGAGCTCGGACGTTCTCCACCGGTGTCGCCTGTCAAAGGTTGAAATCATTTAATTCGGGATCGAGTTCAACGATGCTCCGGGTCATACTATAAATTTACGCTCTATGATCCCGAGGGGGTAGAATTTGGAGACGATCGATTGGAAGATTAGAGTCTCGGTAAACATGCGTGTCTCGTCCTCAGTTTGTTCTGGGATCGGGAATAGGGAAAGCTATTGTATCATGTGGAGGGTTAGTTTTGATTGACTCACCGGTGAGGGGACAGGCTGGGCGCTTCTGTGGTCGACGACAGCGAGCCGGAAAACGGTATGATTATTGCAACGGCTGTAAGTAGCATATGTTCTGTCGTTGGCAGCTCTCGTCTCCTCGTAGAAGCCATCGGACGTTGCTAGGTGGAAATGATCGTTGGCATAAACCATATCCGAGGCATTGCCGTAGAAACTCCATTGATTGCGCACGTTTTCAATGTTCTTTCCGGCTGTAATTTGGATACGCCTCAGTTTCAGGGTACCGGGACGAGTGCGAGCGACAGTCAGAATCCTGTGCGGACTAAACCAATACTCACAGTCAATGTCCATCGAATAGATACTTTCGGTGCCGATGTCGAGAGCGTATAGGCGGAACCGCACGAAGTCGATTTCAAACGAACGAATATTTTTCGCGCGGTGAACCTCCTCAGCTTTCCGCCAGTGGAGTGCATTATCTTCTTCGGCGAGTATGAGATCCGCCCTGTACACCACGTTCTCTGCCGTTACGGGATCGTCATTCATCCAGAACAGAAAGCCGTTGTAAGGATCGACGATCACTTTCGTCGGGGACGACATTTTGTCGAAACCATGAACCACAGAAGTGCATCGGAAGTCCCTTTCGATGTTACACGACCTGATCTGCCAGGACATCTCTTCGAACAGGAACAAACGTTTATTCAGCCAGTCGTACGAAAGCAGCGAGGGCCTGCCGGCGTCGATCGGGAGAACTTTCGGGATCAGGCTCAAATCCGTCCTATCCATGTCGACGACGTAGACTCGCTTGCCATCCGAGATGTAGAGTATCCTCGACTGGAGATTGCTGGCGATTCCGGTGATGACTGAATCGTCATCGGGGAGGGTGAAGACCACATCACCCCAACCCGAGGCTTTCCCGAGCACGAACTTGTATAAATGTCTCCCGCTAGCGGCGAAGGCTTGACCCTCGTCTACGTTCAACTCGGGCTCGGCTGTCTTGACCTCGCAGAACGCCATTTCACTTTTGCCATGCCTGTTCGAGGCTTGCACTTGCACGCGGTATTTCCTGCTCGGTTCGAGAGCTCGGAACACATATCCTACGATTTGATCGTCTGAAGAATTTGTCGTCAATTCCTGGAGGAACAAAACACGCTGAATCCACCTGAGGCGATCCGAAATCGGACCCGCGTGCTTATCAGAGACAATGTCGAACTTACATGAACTAGAGGTGGATTTCCTTGGTCGTCTCGAGTTTCGAGCAAATAAGAAATCTGTGCGCTGGCAGGATATGCGGGGGGTCTCCAGGAAACTGCCACTTGATTGTGCGTGGTGAGAGCGCACGTAACTTTTTGAGGTGCGCCCTGCGGCGGTCCAAACTCCGAAGTTTTCACCGTCGATGCGACAGTGAATAACGACTCGAACTGGGTGGATACGGTCCACGCAAGTCGAAACTGCGATTTGTTCAGCAATTGTGAGCGAAATCATCCCGAGTGGATTCACCGAAATCTCCAGTCTCCCGGGTGAATCAAATGAAACTGCGGACGCCTCTAGTCGAATGAGGATTTTCGGATCACCCACCTGATATTCTGAGTAAGGCTTGAAGCCAGACAGCTCAAACGATTCGCTTCTCGATGTCAAGTTGAACTCTTGACCAGCGTTGTAGTATTCCCAGTCTTTTGTGGACACCTTGTACTGTACTCGGAACATCACTGTCGGTAGATCCCTCACATCCACACGGAAAACGACGTTGCCCGGTTTGCGCGCCCGCCGCCATTCCACTCGAGGGTGTTTTGAAGGGTCGCCGGCAAGATTGCGCAAATAAGAGTCCAGACCTTTCTGGCAGCCTTGGACACACTGAGGTACGCCCGTTGGACTCGACGATTCCTGCAAGTGCAGCCAACAGAAAATCAATGCCGTGAGCAGCATGGATGTATAAACGCGAGGTCAGAGCGTGCCGTTCGCTTCATTTAGAAAGAATTTCAACGGCGGCGATGATACTCTAACGTCGTCGAGCGTTGACCGGTCACTGCAAGTTGGCTAGATTTCGTTTCTTCGATCGGTTTACGAGAAGCCCGATAAAAAAACGACTAGACTGCAAGCAAGCTGCTGACTCAGGACGCGCCACAGAAGCCTTTTGACGCTCTCGTGATCTTCTGCAGCCGTGGAGCACGTAAGGCTGTTCTCCGCTTGTGAGCGATAGATTCTCGGTTGATTCCTCTTTCTCAAAAAAAATATTTTGGAAAAAGTCATATCGAGCCGATCACCGTTGCCTGGCTCATTTCTCTATCGCTTGCGAACCAGCCGCTTCGAACAAGGTCCATGGCGCTATGCTGAATTACGGAGCTCGGGAGATCCATTCGGGAGATATGAACTTCTCGAATGAGACTGTTTGTCCCCCTCGAAGCAGACGGGAATATTCAGGGAACCCGGAAATTATTCCCCTGAGCGAGCGCGACTTATAAGTGAGCCGCGACACAGACGGAACAGCGTGTTAGCGGAGCGCTACCGAAACCAGACGCTAGAAAAAGGTCAACCTCGTCCGGGGAGCATCGAAGACGGGGAAGACGGGATATGAGAAAAGCCGTCTCATTCCCACGACGACCATTCATTTCGATGGAATTCACTCCCATCGGTCAACTCACCGCGCAGACTGCTGCGCAGTCGCTGCCCAGAGCTTTCCGCCAAGATTGGCATCCTTCTGTGCACTGAAAGCAGAGTAATATTCGTGAGATGAAATTTCGTGGAAAGAAGCGGAATCACAACTATCCGACGAGCCCTCGATCTAGCGCTCAGACCAAGATACGGGAATGCTGCCACTGCATCATCATTCAACATTGGAGTCACCCCGAGGATCTCGATTCAGAGATGGAGCCTTGTGGGCGCCCTTATGAGCGGGGAAACAAAACGCCCGCTATCTAAATTGCTATCATTAGAATTAAATGGGTGAGACAGCTCGAAATAAATTGAGAGGGCGTCAATTTGTGATCGCGGCGTTCCCGTCAAACGGCTCTGGTCAGAAACAAGAGTTTGCTGCTCTTCTCGGACGTTCCGCGAGTGACGGTACTTAAGGAGAAGCCACAGATCTCTAAACGGACAAAGCGCCACGGTCACGGTGGTGACAAAGTATTCGTGTAAACACCGAGACCGCGGGCGCTGATGAAGGGAACGCACAAGTAATCGTCGGGAGCGGTGCCGTGTTTGGATTTTAGCTAGAAAAATTGGGGGTCTAGATCTCGTTTACGCGAGAGGAATCGTGGCGAAAGAAAAAACTACTCACACTGCTTTGACATTCCTTGTCGCAGACTTCGTTGAGCTCCTCGTTGTTGGCCTAGAATTGATCATTCATCATTAATTTCACGATTATCATTATTCTGACATGATGTTGGAAATCGTTCTCCCTAACCCACGAGTGTTATGACGAGGGAGGCTTGTAGACAAGCTCGGTGGAGCGGAGACATCTAGTTTGTAACGTTCGAGGAGGCGCCTCATGCTCATCGCGCTCTCTACGGAGTTGGCTATAATGAATCAACCGGATCTCCAGCCTTGTCGTTCTCTGATATCTATCCGCAAACTCCAACAATTTGGTGAACACAGCGTTAATGAGCCTAGGAAAGAGTCGACCGAGAATAATTATTTTCTTTCAGCCCCCTAATTTCGAGACGCGGGACTGCGCATCTATCCCAATTAATCAACCTTTGATTCGTGAGCGGCAAGAATCAATCAACCTGCGGCTCGGTCGATGATTTCATGGACAATGGGAATCAGGAAACGGAAGTTTCAATCCATCTTACTGAGTGTCATCGTCGAAACTCTGATCCAAATGATTCGAGCAGCTTGCTGTCTTCAAGCTGTTTATTCTCGGAACACTCATGGATTCTTATTCGCGCCAGTTTTTTCGCACATTAAGACTTCCGTTCAGGTCGCACCCTCTTCGCCATTCACCAAGCTCGGAGAGGATGCACAAAAAAGACTATCAGACACACAAGCTATCACGACTGACTGAGCCATTCGGAGGTCATGAACACGTCGATCGTATTCGGGGCGTCGAAAGCCTATTTTGGCTCTTTAAAGCCGGGAGAAGAAATACCCAATTCATGTGCTTCCCGTGGAATCTCTCGAGTGTTTCATGAGTATATCTTTTTATTTTTCCCAGAACACCAGCTCATGAAACCGCGGACCCGGTGGGGTTAACCTGAGCGCGACGTTCCAACGGAGCGCGATGGACAGAAGTCTTCCTATCGATTCTGTTGTTTCTCGCTCCATATCGCGAATCGTTTCCGTATAGTGAATGGAAGAAAGTGGACGAAAAATCAACTTGCGCATTGTGAAAAGCGATGGTTTTCGTGCGTAAAAATTAATCCTTCGCATCTAAGTTCTCGTTCCTGCAGCGGAGCATTGCGCTGACCTGTTTCTACTGTTCCGTCGGATATAATCGAAATTTGACGGATCTTTTTTCTCTTTGCTCAAGCTTATAACACCTTTCCGAGCCGCGTCGTAGAATTTTCCAGTTTTTGCGCGAACCGAGGAAAGGCGGCTCGACGAAGAACGGTGACTCTTATTCTCTGCTGAGTAGAAGGTACCCTCCAGTAGATCGCTGATCCTGCCTCAGGGAATCCAGGCGGTTCAATCATTCGGTCTCTCTGGAGCGCCAGGGATCCTCCATCTGGCTTCACATATGCTTTCGTTCTAGGCTTTCTTCTGGCTCGCCTGGCTATTCTCTGTGACTCCCCCACAGCTGGTCCTGTCTCTTGGACTGTCTTTCAGACATGGGCAGCAGATGAAGCAGACCGGAGTACTTATACCAGGAGTTTTTCTTCAGAGCGAGATCGCGCACCAATAAACACCCATTACCCAGGTTGCCAGCCGTGCTTTGGGTTCGCGTGGCTCCATGTGTGGTGCATGCACGTTTCCGAGGTCTTCACGAACGGCTCATTGATCTTAGAGGATCGCTCATCGAGCGCGACAACTTTTTCGGGACCACCCGTCGCCAAGACACCCACAACACGGGACATACTCGCGATTCGACATGAATGAGCTCGGTGCTCGGCTGGCGTCTCGATCACAGTGGTCTTGATTCTGGATCCGATCTTTTATGCACCCATTTGAAGAGGTTTTCCGGAGGATATCGGAGAAATCCCTCATCCCGAAAGGGGAAAACCCGGCGCCCCGCAAGATCGCTGCTCGGAATGCTCATCGCGGACTCGGTTGATTGTCCCACTTCATGAATGAACAAGGTGAGCGGGTGACGGAGCGAGCCAACGAGCAAGCATTAAGCCCAGACTGACAGCCCCACTTGTTGCTATGAGCGCCATCTGCTCGCACGAAAGCTGGATCTATGGTGCCGGCTTCAAGTCTACGGCCATGGAGCTTCATTGAGCTACAACGGCCCGGACGGACGATCGGTCGGTTGGATTGCCGGTCGCTTGGTCGGTCAGTCAGTCCCTCCATGCGCCGCAAAATTTACCGGATGCGAGAAGTCTAGGCTTCGGACCAGAAATCCAATTCACAATAGACACCCAAGCAGTGCCGTCGTTGACGAATTCATATTCAAGCGAACAGCGTCCGACGCCACTTCCAACTGGGGAATTTTTTGAATTAGAAATCGCACCGAGGAAGCGCCGAATGAACGTCAGCGATTCGCGGTGGATGGCTGGAACTATTATTGGAAAGAATACTGATCCGCCGGACGGCATATTCCGATTTCAAATTCCGCTCAACTCTCGCACGCTCCCTGGTCATCGATAGCAGCCGGGAATTCACGCTCCCAACCCGGCACGACGTAAGTTACACGAGTCGTATGCTTCGTTCATCCGTAGCTCGGGAAGAGCGAGCGAGAAGCTCAAGCTAAACCTACATACATCAGTCTGTTGAACGCTTGAGATCCTGACCTACCGGTAAACTTCAGGCCATCTGCGCCCCTTCCGGGCCGTTTCAGCTTCTCACCCACTCATATTTCTTCAGAGACGAAGCGACCAACCATCAACTACTTCTGCCGCTACTCACTCTCACCCCGGTCCGGTTGTAGCTACGAACGGGACTGTCTCCGATGGTATCTTCTTTTCTCTCAGTTTTCCTGTGTGTTTTCCTATGGGGCTCAACTTTTTCGTTTCCCCTCCCTCCCTCCCTCCCGGAATGGAGAATGGACGGCTACCTACGATCTCCGGAGCGAAATAAGGGAGAGACCCCTACGGACGCAGCTTAGGAAAACTAAGCATTAATCTCAGAACAACAGAATCGGTCGGTCATGCCATTATCGGTTGGGTCATGTAGCTGTGCACTCTATTAGTACTGTATCCCCCTCTAACCGACTGAGCTATAGGAAGGTAATTTTTTGCCGTACTCGAGCCGCCCTTCATCGAGGCCCGGCATCGGCTCTCAAGCGTCCGGACTTCGTGGAGACTGTAGGGAGTCTCGAGATTGCCTGAAGGGTTACAGTTGGCCGTGATGTCAGATTTCCGCGCGGCTCCACTCCAATAGAGGCTCCGAACATTGGGTCTCTGATTCACGGAAACCGCAGATCGGCAGAAAATGACAAAACATTGTCCAAAGCCAAAAAAAGTTCGACCGCCAGACCGCGATCTCACGGGAGATCTTCATCGAGCGTTCTGCGGTGGAGCTTCGAATTGCTGAGCTACGGCGTCATCCGATTCCAGTCCCAACGATTTTTTTCACGTGTCAACGAATCGTTCCGATCAACTTGCTACCTAATGGCATCGACTATTCCTTCAATTGACAAAACCTCCCAGCGACTACGTCCGCTCGATTTTGTCCTTAACTGCCGAATTGATTCTCCGTCGGAACCTCAGATCCGTTAGACCGACAGAGTGTTCGATGTGTTCGGTTCATTAGTTAGCGGAACGTCTGTCGACAACGGATCTCCGCGTATAAAGACTAACTGAGCGAGTGGGTTTTGCTTCCTAGCCGGCATACGCTCGAGCGTCGGTCGGTCCTTCTGCTGCTCATCCGCCGGCTCAGCGGCGAGAATCAGTCTCTATTAACAGTAATTAGAGCAACAGCCGCGATCGGCTCGCAGACAAGAGCGGCTGAAGCAGCGGAATGGCCGGATATTGTTTTCCGACAGAGCAGAGGAACGAATTGAGAGGGAGTGAGCCGAGGAAGAAGCAGAGCGAGAAATTCAATGGTCGGAGAGACTAAAAATGTGACGTCCTCCGCAAAAAAACTAACTCAGTTTCCGTCTTCCTCTCGCTCGACGCGGGAGGCCCACTTCGGGGAAGTGGCCAAAGTTAACATCCGAGAAAAAACTATCGAGGTCGGTGAGTTGGTCAGTAGTAGATCGCAAGTAGATTCGGATGAGTTCGACTCAGCTCAAGATCTCCTTTTCCCCGTCGTTTGATAGAAGCTTCTACCGTGCTCGTCATAACACCTTGGAGGGCTCGAGGAGGGATCCCATTCGGCCTCAAGCGATCGCCCTTGGAGAATGCAGGCATATTTTCCTCTGAGCGACGTCGGACCCAATCAGCTCGACGCAAAGACCCCCGCCGGAGTTCAGACTCTGATCGCATGACTTCCATTTCTACGTGGTTGGGGCTTGCGATGACAGAGCTTGCTTCAATCGGACAGGTGAGCAAGAGCGACGACGGTTTTCTGCTTAAGGGAGACGCTTCGGTAGATGACAATTCACGACTACGCGACGCATTCTACGGAAAGGCGTTCGTCTCCTAATCGAGCCACATGCTCTCGCATTCGGCTGCGCCGCGAGCCGGAGCCACGGCCGAGACCTCGCCTTCATCGTAATCTTAGTCCACCTTGGAGCGAAAATCCCGGTGAGCGGCTTCCAACGGAAGTCAACGGTCAGCAGCGCCAAGGACACATTGCGCTCCTGGAGAGTTTTCAGAAACAAAAAATCAGCCATCGGATGCCGGTGTTCGATCAGCATACGAAGATGACGCACGCATTCACGCTCAAGGGACAGTGAAGGAGGCTCAAGCGTGGTAGGTGGGCCTCGCAGCGCGAAGCGCCCGCGCAGCGCTATATCGACCAGGGTTTCCTCCGCGCCGTCGTTGATTGAGGCGGTTCGTTTTATGACATGTCAACGAACAAACGGATTCACGGAGAGTTGCTTTCGAATATTTCAGCCACCGGAAGATCACCGATCGCTTCGGCCGACGGCTTTTCGCCTCGTTCATGTGAGCAATAAAGATCCATTTCGTCGTTATGGAATGTCTTCGTTTTATCAATCGCATCTATCCGTAGCTGTCACTCGATGCGTCAATCGAATCGTCAGGTGCACGAAAGTAGACCTGGGTCCGGCGAGCACGAAGAACACTGGCCGAATATACCTCGGAGCGGGCTGAGGCAGGGCGCCTCCCGTGAGGAAAATAGTCGGTGCTTTTGATGAGCGCTGAAATATTTGTTTGACAAATTTCGAGCGGCGACACCTCCACCCCGAATATAAATAGTCGTCATGAAGACCTCACAGACAGATAGACCGAGGCTTCAAGCGCACTAGGATGGGCATTTTCAGTCCCCATGAGGACCGTCCTTAAATATCCCTCATTCACAATCACTTCTCATAAGTCCGTCATAGTATGAAAAACACTGCTCCGGGTTTTTCCTAATCGATTCTTTCTGCCAGATGAGTCTCAATCTTTCTGTCTGATGCGAGGTCTGAATCGGTCTGATTGACTGCCGTTTGTATCGACCCGAATGCGAAGGATCGGACTCAACGAGAAATCGAAACTAAAATCTATTCGAGGAGTCAAGAAACCTCATTACACCAAATATTCCACATCGCGGCCGCACGCTCGCGGTCTACTCAAAGGAGATTCAGAGGATACGTTTCGAAAGGCATTTTCCCATGGACATGTGAAAAACGTTGCGGTAAAAAACGTTTGCTCAGCACGTTTTTACTCTACAGCTGACTGGTGGTTGTTTGAGCCCGGCGTTAACCTGAAGTTCCGTCTCGCCGGGCTCAAGCGATAATTAGGACTTTTTACCCGCTTGATTCGTTCGCTTCCGTAAGGATCGCCTAATCCACGGGCAGTCCGTGGACAGCGAGCGTCACTTGGGAAAGTCACCCGGCGGAGAATAGTTTCCAACAGTTGACAGTTGCTTGGTGACTGTCATGCATCAGAACTGAGAAAATCAGAAGTCCCCGAGTACGGAATGTATTCGACGTTGTTCGACCAATCAGAAGCCTTATTCCGACTTTTGAGCCAACAGAATCGGAATGATTTCAACGACGTCGGTCGGATCAGAGTTTACCGTACAGAGCAGGATAGTCGTGGAGAGAAACGTCGCGACTCGCGACGCCCATCCAGACAATCTACGCTTCCACCGTGAGAGCGATAGCTTTCCGCAGATGATCAACCGCATGATCAGGTTTACAGAGCTCATTGCCGCTTCCGAGGAAGCTGTGTACGACGACGACGATCTCGAACTCTGAACCCAGAGCTGCCTGTCCATCCATCCGTCTGTAAGTCTGCCTGACTGCTTGTATTTTTCTCGGAGAGCTCGCTCGCTCTCGCTCAGCGGAAGCAGGTGCCAGAAGTCTACAAGAACCAGAGCCGGTCACAGAGCAGCGGAGAGCGGAAGACTATTCATTCCCATAGAAAACTCAATGCAAGAAGTTCAGAGTGTTGTCTGAGAATGGCATAAGGCGGACGGGATTCAAACTCGTCCTCCGGTCGGTCAGCCAGCCAGCTTGCCAGCCAGAAGGCCGAAGAGCAAATTAAGAGATCGTAGCGTGGAGTCGAAAAATACTTTCTTCGAGAAGAGACGAAATCGATGCGAGCATTCAACCTGTACTCGTCATCAACATGAACCGTTAGCGATGCAATGTGGAGTTGGTGCTGAGCTCCAACTCTCCTACACACACACACACCTAGTCAGTGCATCGGTGTTCCCACGGCTTTGCCCCCGTAGAACATCATTTCTGCGCAACGAAGCGTAGTCGGCCTAGTCGCTCGTAGCGCTGAGCGAGCCATGGGCCAGGACTACAAAGCCACCTGTGGGCGTTGTGGGAACACGGCCAGGTGGACCTCCAACGGAACTGTACGCTACGTTGAACGTCCGTACTGGATCGGAGCGGTGACGCACAGACTTCAAATCACGGGATGGGGTCCTGTTAACTTTGAATGAAAACGACAGCCAAAACGAACACGAAACAACTTTCACGTCGCTCGAAATTTTTCCGATCCTTCTGGAGATTTGGGACTTTCGCTGCCGAGAACCCTAGAGAACAGAAATTTCCTCCATCGATTCAACTTCGTTGGGTGACTCCGTTGAATTGGACTGCAGACGAGTATTTCCGCATCGATTTCGATTCAACGGAGCACCTCTCAGAAAGTGGCCAAACTTCAATAATTTCGGAGGAGACACCTCATGCTTGTCGCCGTGCCGTAAGGCAGCAGCCGACGGAAAAGCGTGGGCCGTGGATGTCATTTGATCCATCGGATATCCTCCGAATTACTCAGCACTTCCCGGCGTTCGCCGGCTCTCGCTCGATGCTGTGGGGGAGCTTCACCGGAACGTCGTTGACAAAAGACTCCTTCAAGCGAATCGCGGGGACGCCGAGTGAGCGAGCTAGTGAAGAGTCGTTACCACAATGCGATGTCGCTCGCCGTCGATTCGTTTAGCCGCCGAAATTCAGCCGGAAAAATCAACAAGGAAACTAACAATGGAAAATGCAGCATGACACCCTCTTGGCGACGATCGGATAGGTCAAACGCTCACCACAGGGCCCGACGAATCAAGGGGCGCCAGATGGGAACAGATCATCGCCGTGGATCGGAGAATCTCATTTCGGTATCGAAACAATAAATTTGTGAATGAGAGCGCTAAAATCAGCGCCCGACACCCTCCCAACGATACGTCGAGAGAGGAATGAATGCCGAGGAGCTTCAAACCTTCAGGCAGATCTATCGAGAGGAGCTGTCTCTCCGTTGTGTTATGCTAAAGGTAAACTCAATCCTTGACGTCATCCGCACTTTACGTCGTGCTCTCAAAAGTGCCCGCGGCTCCGAATCCCTCCAGAAGATGTATTGTATTGCACCACACGGAATTATGCCGGTGGAGACACAGAGCGACTGCATCGGCGCGTCGCACGCGGTAGTGAAGATTGACTCTCCATTCTCTAAAAGCTCTCCGATAAACATTGACTGTCGCCGATCCTGCCAATACCGATTCGGAATCCCGACGGTTCCTCGCTGGTCAATCACTTCAAAACAATGACGCTAACGACAGCAATAATTGGAATCTACGGATCGTTCGTGACTGTCACTGAATTCGAGCCAAGTCAGAATCCGTGTATCGCCCTCGACATTTTCATTTATGAAGCCTAAATAATTTGAGCAGCGAGCTTTATAAGAAAGAGAGGACGGTGTACCCAGGAAAATCACCGATATCGTATCACCAATCCTCCACAGGAAGGGTCATCACGCTCCCAGCGAAACACGACAAATGAGTCGCGATGACTAGGGACAAGGAATGCACAAGATCCGAAATCTCTTCAATCGAGGCAAAAGAGCGCAAAAAGGTGAGGAAGGCGGAAAAGAACAGCAGCCCGGAGCGATTCGGTTTCACCCGACGTTTTCGCCGGGCCGCTGTTTGCTTTATCAGGCAGGGGTCGTCTTCTTCTCGGGATCGACGATTCTTCCAGTTTAGTGGAAAATCGATTCGAGCATCACTTCACGAGACGTATACATGCCCATCGTTGCGTCAGCAATCATTGTCCTACAGTAACGTGAACCTTCATTCAGGCAGAAGGCCATACCCAGCTCCAACACCTCACTCGATCCGGTATGGAGCCCAAATCAGAACTCTTTGCTATGACTTTGAGATCGATACTTTGTCCAGTGGATTGGGAGGACACGACTTGCGCAATAAGGACCCTCCGAAATCGAAGTATGTCCGGAAGCACGGGCATCGAAGCGAATAATCACAGTGTCGCGAAGATCAGGGATTGAGGATTTCTCAGCCGTCATCGATCCGTCGACTGATAAGTAGATAGATGGGGAAATGGAGCCTCGATTTCGAAGCTCGAAGCATTTTCAACATGACCATTCGTTGAAGAAATAAATATGTCCCAATAACCACCATGTGACGATAGACGGTGATCGATGAATAATCATCCGATCTTCCCAGCTTCAACTTCCATACTTTTCCCCGGAAATCGAATGCTTCTCAAGGAAGTGTACCGATTCAATCGTCCAGAAAACTCGTTTCTCCGCAGCGGGCTGCGGTCTTGCGGTTTGTCTCGAAGCGATGACGTCGATGCACCGCTCTCTGTATTGGATCCGCAGTCTCCAGACAATCGAGTCCGTCCACCGAGCGTCGATGCTCGAGGAAGCAACACTCTAATCGAGGACATAATGTAATGGCAAATCCTCATTACCGGAAAGCCTCAAAAAAATTCACATCGCGGGATTAGAGACCGACCGGAACGGCATGGAATCGCGGCGGTGAAAGAGAAGAAACGGCAGGGAACCAAATCGAGGAAATAAGTCCTGAACCGTCATCTCTCCAGAATCCAGTGTGGGATTCTCCCAGGAATTCCATACTCGTCTGCCCATGCGTTCGGAAAGCCGAAGGGAGGCACACTTCGAGATTACTGCGAAAATCGAAGTGATGTCAAGTCTTTCCTGATGGTACTTCGACCGGTAACTGCGCCGGCCGTCCGGACTTTCCACCAGAGACAGGGTCTGGGACGTTCGAGAGACCATTCCGCGCAGGCATGAGCCGGATTTCGATTTACCCCCAGCCTTAGTCCGGGATTCTCTGGCTACACTCTTCGACGTCAAACCTAAGAAAACAACTCACCTGCTGGCAGCTCTGTACACATTTATTAAAATTCGCGCTATCCTGTCCGCGGGCCACTGCCACTGCCAGGACCACTAGGCACAGCGATTTTCCTCGCATTCTTCTCCTGGCTCCTGCCTGATTGAGCTTAAGGCTAGTTCACTAATCTCCGCATGATGGTTATTCCCGTACGCTGTAATTGTATCCGCTTGTCGAAGCAACCAACTGCTCGTCCGTCGTCTAGGCTGTCGTTCGATACGTTCACCGGTGGCTCGCTCGCTCGCACAAAGCACTAGAGAAGATAACCGCGGGCTCCTGTTCAGCGCTCGGGCTCAACTGGTCATGAGTACTCGCACCGAACTGCAAGTTCCCCAGGCTGCCGCTCGAAGGCGCCACTCGTCACCGCTCCAGTCAGTCTTTCACTGAGCCAGACGGCCAGTAGTCATTCAGTTAGGGACTTGGTCGGTGGATCCCTCCGCAGACGCTCAGACAGACACTTGTCGATGGAAAGCTCACACCCGATCGGGGCGGGGCTTCGCATGCGAGGGGTGACAACCGACATGTGCTGCTGCTACTACGCTAACCGCGGATTCATTCAGCCTTTCTTCATTCAAGTTCACGATCATAGCCACGGGTAGAACTGCACGGGGCACGTGCCGCCGGCGGTCACGGATCGATCATCGGAGCGTCGAGAATTATGGGAAAATTCGAAAGTATACCGGTTTGTGAAAAGTTCAAGTTCCCGCCGACGAATCCTTGCGAGTCTTCTCAGCCCTTCCCTCTATCCCGCCGAAGGCCTCGATCCGACCTGACGCTTCCGGACGTAGCACGGAGATCATATCAAATCAGGGCTGTCAACTCCTCAGGGCATCAGTCATTACTCATCACAATTATTTATTATTATTATTCATTATTTATCATAATTATTATTATTTTTTATTCCCTACGCTCGTCGACGCCATCCGAATCTTCTCCACCATCATGTGCGAGACATTCTCTTCCGTTTGTACATCAGTTCTGATTTCGAGTTGGGCACTTCCCCGTGAGTCGTCGTCGAATCTCGGGGAGCAGCAGCTTTGGCTTCTGTCTGCCTCGGTTCTGTTATGATCTGAATTTCTTCATCCTTCTCGCCGGATTGAATCAGGTTTGTCCTCGAGGCCGAATCTTTGCTGTCCTTCGCGAAGAGATAGGTTGCCACAGAGACCACAGCGATCGCAACCACGGTCCAAGCGTCGATCGGTGTCCCGAAACTCAACCAGCAAACGAAAGCCATGAGAGTCATCTCCATCGAGCCGGTGAAAACCCTGACAATGGAATCGAAGTGTTTCAGGAACAATGATACCATGATACCACTGACGGCACCATTCACTATTACCGCTAGAACTAGGGGTTGGGCGAAAATACTCGACAATTCACTAACATCTATGAGATCGTGCGTTCTGCCTCTGCACACAAGGACAAAAAAGTTACATAGGACAGAGTCTAGGTACATGAATAAATTATGAATCATGATATCCGAATCCCCGGCGTCTATGCCGTTGTGAGATCGGTGGGTGTCTGTCTTGATCAAAGACTCGTTGAACACCCCCGACAGCGCCGTGCAGCTGATTTGAAGGAAGAGGAGCGCTCCTTGGAGATTGACGATGTCGCAGGAGCCGAAGAAGCTTTTCTCGGATACTCCTAATTGCTTGATGACGCAGCCGACCGTCAGAAGTATGATCGCGAACCATTGCCTGAGCGAAAGCGTTTTCTTCAGAATCATTTGATACAGAATTCCTGTGAGAACAATTTTCAACTGTTGCAGAACATTGTAGGTTGTTGGTTCGAAGTACCGCAAGTTCACGAAAACCAAATTGTTGCTCATGCAGTAGAGCGCGGAAGGTATGAGGTACAATATGAGGAGTCTCCAGCGAGAGATTGCGACCTCGACCGGCCTACTGAGTGCATGATTCTCGACGATGAGCGCCGCCGCTGCGATCAGAAGTTTAAGCGCCTCCGTTATGAAGACGACCGATGTCGTATTATACGTGTAGTCGTCGGCGGTCTGCGATGCCTTCACGAGCACGTATTGAGTCGAGCACAGCAACACGTAAGATGTGAATACAAAAATAGACGTGCGCGTCGGGAAGAGTTCACAGCGGTACACTGTCGGAGTTTTCTTGACGTTTTCCGGACCCGGTGGCTCAACGACATTGGCGGAGTCACTCATTATTCGTTGCACAGGCGCATGAGACTCGGGTTCGAGCACGCGTGGGGTGTCGGGGAATGAGGTTCGAGAATCTGCAGCCTGGAAGTACTAAATAGCCGTCGGGAGAGAGAAAGCGTAAGTCTTTACCGCGCTGCTCGGTTCACGAAATATTCGGTCACGTGTTCGAGGATATCTTGTCCCCAGAAGATTGACGAACGGATCAGATGCTACGTCGCGCGTCATCTGATGGGATGGTGAAACACGATGTTGGGAGCCCGCTCTGGACGACTCAGGTGACAGACCAGAGCATGGGCAGCCTTCAATTAACAGACGAGCAGACCGCCTCAGTCAAGCGCGCCAGTGCTGATATCGCAGTCTTATCGGGTTTCAACATCTCCTATGTTTTCCATCATAGTTCGCTCAGTACACTAGAGTGACACACGAGCTCTCGATATCGAAGGATTCCTCGCTTCCGTCATGTGAACAAAGTGTGCGACCCGGATGATGGCATTGTCAGCGATTCGTCTCCTCGGATCTTGAACACGTAACGTTCACCCTGCTGAGCTCATTCTGAAATCCAGGATCTTCCAGGATCCAACGGTCAGCCGTTCGGCCCCTCACGCGTTCTAGAAGAGAAATCAGGGGCAACTCACTATTGAAAAATTTTTTCTCGGGAAAGTGACAAATGGATCTTCGCGGGGATTTTCGACTCGTGATGGAAATCGGCAGCGAAAGAATCTCATCTCCGAGGTCTCCAGCAACGATGCTTCCTCAGAAGCCAGAATCGACTGAGCCAAAAATAATAAGCCGTCGCGGTTTATCACGAGCACTTAGTTCATTTATTTGCTAGAATCGATCTTCTCAGCCACACGTAGTTTTGCGGAACGACTCCTGGGGTTTCTCTCGACTTCATCGGGCGATGGTGCGATGAACTTCGGTATGGGAATCCAGGTTTTGACGATTTCCGCCTCCGAGTGCCATGCTGTTGAGTTCTTGTACTTCTGAGAGATCGACTGGGATGCCGGCTCATCGAGATCAATCCCTGCAGAGAGAGAAGCTCTGTTTCTTTTCGCTATTACGTTTCGAACACTCTACGAATCGTTCGCTAACGGAGGGATAATCTGTACCTTGGAAATGCCGTTTCACAATCCTGTCTTCCAGCGAGTGGAACGAGATGACGGCAGCGCGACCATAAGGGACGAGCATCTGATGAGAGAGGTATAGGGCGCGATTCAATTCGTTCAACTCATCGTTCACGAAAATTCTCAGCGCCATGAAGATCTAGAAGAACAATTTGGAGGGAAAATTAGGCGAAGCGTTGAGCGGATTTCCGAGAATCAGGGTAGCTCTTTGCAACACTATGAATGACGATTCGTGACCAATGTCTCCTTGCTGAGGGACTCACTTTAGTTGCGAGACTAGTGAATCGGCCGAGAGAGTCCCGACGTTCGTGCCCTTCGGAGAAGGCGGCTTCAACAACTTCACTCAGCTCTCGTGTTGTCCTCATCCGCTTCATCTCATACCTTCAAAGTTCGGAAGATAAATCGTGCACCGAATTCGATGTCTCATGATAATATGCGAATCTCTCTATCCTATAATTACAATTAGTCAGATATAATTGGAGATTACATATCGCTCCCTCGTTGCTCACCTATAAGATACGATGGCTTCGGCGATCTTGCGAGCATTGCGCTCTCCGCCGTAGACTTTGAAAATCCTCGCGAGACTCTCGGCGTCAAGCACGTTTACCAATGCGGCCGCGGTTGGACAATCTGAGAAAGCGATGAAGAATATTTCAATATCGATTGGAGACACCAGGAAGGGTGTCAGTCGACCGCCCTGGAGTCCTTGAAGTCCCAAGCCTCAATTTCTCGGCGTCACCCACCTTTTTCAGCTGGGTTCATGCGCATGTCCAGCGGACCATCTTTCGAGATCGAGAATCCTCTTGGCTGATCCATCTGCATCGAGGAGAAGCCGCAGTCTATGAGGACTCCTGATACGGAGCCCATCTTCACGCAGTGACGCGACAACACGTCTCTGAAATTATAGATCGCGTCATCGATCATTCTTCCGGAGCGGCGCATATGAATTTTTCGGACAATGTCGCACCGTCCCGGCGACCACCAACCTCACATCGGTGAACTTTGAAACCCCGAAGTCGAATCTGTCTTTGTATTCCTCCTTGACTTCATCGGCGAGCTCGGACACTGAGGGGTCGCGATCTATGGCGACGACTCGCGCACCCTGCTCGAGCATGGCCCTTGTGTGACCGCCCGCCCCGAACGTCATGTCAACATATGTTTTATCTGAAGAGTAGATTTATGAGTATTCTTATTGGACTATAGCCGGAGGGCTCAAGCTCCGTCATATTCCTCCACGGCACAAGAATTGTCCGAACCTTCCTCGATGAGCAGCGCGTCGATGCTCTCCTTGAGGAGCACCGACGTGTGGAGTGGCTTCTCTGCTTTGACATTCTCCTGGAGCGTTGAATGCCCTCGCGTGAACCTGCTGACGGGAGTGGATAGAGCCAAACGCAAGTTTTTGAGCATTCCGAGCACGGAGATCTCACATTCGAAGCCACTCGGGATCCTGCTGAAACTCGGTGCACCGAATCAGCTGATACGTTCGAATTTCCGCGCCCTTCGGGGAACCTACCAATTAGATGGATCCGAAATTTTCGAGTATGCTAACGAGTCGACCGATCTCGGACGAAGAGGCTCCCCTCAACATATGATGATATAAGCTGGGATTAGTCCAGTTCCGCGGTCCGGACCCCTTTGGCTTTGAGAGAAAGCCTTGCGGTCTGTATTTTTCGAATCCACGCGCGTCCCCAACGGAATCGAATCGCCATCTTTGAAGAGCAGTTTAAATCGGTCTGAAAGCGGCAATAGCTAGCTGAGACGAAGTCACCACGTTGTTCGCGCCTCGACCATCGACAAGCAGTTTTTTCGTGTTAAACTCAATCACGTCCCTCCACCCGAGAATGGCTCCGAACGATAGACTCTCGCAATTCAAGAACCGCGGCAAAGATTTGGAGACGAACCGCAACCGCCGAAAGGACGACGTCATCGAGCTTCGTAAGGCTCGCAAAGATGAACAGCTCTCGAAAAGACGAAACGTCGCGATGGTGGAACCCACCAGCGACACTGACGAAACCGACCAGCTGGATCAGTCTTCTCCTCAGCCCGGTCAGAACGTCGCAGTGACCGACATCGAAAAACTCGTACAAGGTGAGCCGGACTGGCGCGCTCAGGGCGTTCGAGAAGTTTCCGCGTGAATTTCTCAATAAAATAATGCTCGAAGGGACCCCCAGGAGCCCCGAAGCAGCTATTCGGAAAAAATAGCCGCAACATCCGCGTCGTCGTGAGACGAGGCTAATGTTATCGAAGGAGAAATCCGACCCTTGTATTTTTCGCCTTGTCGCAAAACCACATCGAAAATTCCAGGAATGCACTCGAATGATCTCGATGAAGTGTACAGAAGCACGCATTTGGCTCGAAAAATCCTCTCTCGTGAAAGGAATCCGCCGATTGACAAGTTCATCGCCTTCAACGCTGTACCCAGGTGAGTTGTTATTGAAAAAATTAACGCGGCCGACGCGCCTCGCGCTGGTGCGCGAGATCATCCGTCACGTTCCACGGTTCACGTGCTGCTGCGGTAACCTCAGCGCGACTCCGGGAACCACAGCATCTCTCGGGCTCCGTTTTCCGGAGCTCAGCCTAATATTCACCAGATAATAATCTCCGAGAATCTATATGATCGCGATGGTCTGAACCCTCTGTTCTCATAGACTCGTGCAGCTCCTGGAGCGAGACGATCGTCCGGACCTTCAATTCGAAACCGCCTGGGCGCTGACCAATATCGCGTCCGGCAACTCCGAGCAAACCGAATGCGTCGTCAAGTCGGGATCCTGCGATCACTTCATCAGACTCCTCAGTTCCCCCGCCATCAACGTGGCCGAACAAGCTGTTTGGGCTCTTGCAAACATAGCAGGAGAGGGTCCGGCATATCGTGACATGATCATCGATCTCGGCGTCGTTCCTGCACTGACTCGTTTGGTCAAGCCGACGGCGGCGCCGTCGTTTTTGGCGAACGTGGCTTGGTGTCTCAGTAACCTCTGCCGAAACAAGAATCCCCCGCCTCCTCTCCATGCTATACAGGCGTGTTTGCCATCGGTGAAACAGCTCCTGATGCACGACAGCCCAAGCGTTGTGTCTGACGCGTGCTGGTCTCTATCGTACATTTCCGACGGTGACAACGATCGTATTCAAATGGTATGTGTTCTATCGAACAGGTTCTCGTTGAGATCTCTCTGTTTCCAACGACCCGGGCGCCCCCCTCCTGTGCATATATCGTGATTCTGGACTTCGCCGCTTTCAGGTTCTCAGTCTCGGTATCCTGGACCGAATCGTGGCACTTGCGCGCAACTCGAACGATCGGAACTTGGCGATCCCCGCTCTCCGCACCCTGGGCAACATTGTCACTGGGACTGACGACCAAACTCAAGTCGTCATAGACCACGGAGCTCTTCTAGCGTTCAAGTAATTGAGTTTGTATGGATTGAAATCCGAAATTTCATCGAAGATACAACTCTTACGGAACCGTATTCTGACCGTCGACTGAATCCGAATTTCTCTAGTCTCAATCGGAAGCATCCATATCAATTGCGATCTCTTCCAGACACTTGCTACTGCATCCCACTCTGAATCTCCGTAAGGAAGTTTCCTGGGCTTTGTCGAACATTACGGCCGGGCGCAAGGAGCAAGTCCAGGCCGTCATCGACAACGGTCTTCTCTCCCTTCTGATCGATCTTTTGAAGAACGGCGACTCTAGAACTCAAAAGGAGGCTTGTTGGGCCGTTTGCAACTTGACATGCTCGGGAACGGTCGAGCAGATCGCGTGTCTCTTCAAGGAAGGAGGAATGCAACCGCTCGTCGATATGCTCGGCCGGCAAGACACAAAAATCACTGGCGTGATTCTGGACTCTATCCAGAACATTTTGCGAGCAGCAGATTCCCTCAATCGGAAGGAAGCCCTCTGTGAAATACTCGAAGAATACGGCTTGGTCGATCATCTCGAACGACTCCAAATGCACAGCAACATAGAGGTATTATGCGGGTTCAGAACTTCACGAGATTACGGAAGATAGGCTTCCCGAAGCTGCTCAAAAGCTAATTATCTCAATCTTCTTTTAGATCTATGAAATGGCCGCGAAACTGATCGAAGAACACTGGGGTGGGGAGGAAGACGAGACAGCCGCTCCGGACAGCACCACAGCTGACGGTACCGAGTTCGACTTCAACCCGAATGGGTCAGACGGAGCAGGCAACCCCCCACCAATCTCATTTTAGACATCCTGGTCCTATTTGGAATTTCTCCACTCAAGCTTAGGAAAGTGCTAGAGACGAGCGGATCAAGGTGACGAATCATTCCGGTAGGTCGCTGGGTTTGCTAAGCTAAGTCCAAATAAATGTTCAAACTCATGTGCTTGGCCGCTCCGCCCCTGCAGAGTTTGCGGATGTTTTCCTTCAGCGATTTGATGGAATCTACCGAAGAGTCTCGGAAATTCCGGGCATATTGTACGAGGAGCTTATCGAATCGCCAATTTTATCGAGCTCTCGAGGGAATCCAGAGAATTCGATTCGACATCTCACAATAGCTGTGTTTATCTCGAAATACCAAGTTTTAGCCCTGATCGTGTTTCGCTGCGACATTCACCATGAACAAATATGTATGACATGGTCCCTCGATACTGAGATCGCTGATGCTCTATCGCCGTCTGAGTAGGGATTCCGAGAATTGAGAGCGTCGTTCCTAGCAAGATGAATAAAATTATTTGGAGAAACAGGAATCTTTTCATCGCACTGTCGCGTTCTACCCGGGGGGCCTTCCAAGTGTATTCCTTTGAAACCTCATCGAGAAAACCTTCTTCTCTTCCGAACTGGCTGGAGGAACAGAAACCTGAAGCTGTTCCGAATCGGTATCCCTCCATCTACCTGTACTTTGTGATATTTTCATAGTGAAAGAATTGGGACTCCTTTCGGAGCAACAGTATACATTATATTCATGGAGTTTTTCAGTTATGAATCGTCAGATGGGCTCCGAGGGTCCCTTTGGAAGCGTGTGGATGATTAGATGGGTATACAGTCCCATTCCGATGAAATTATTTTACATAATATAGCGCCGACTGACCTGATTAGATCGATCAGCTGGTGTCGTCTCGATGCCCAAACAGAACTGTCAATACCCGAGGTAGACGCTCGATTGCCAGTAGCGGGTGAGCCGGGGGAATGCCTTCCAAAGGCATGAAAAAGTCTTCCCGGAGGGATCATCACGCCGGCGTCGTCGGGTGCCTCGCGCAGCCGGAAATCGAGAGATTTCCATATTTTTCTCTGCTTGAATCGATGATCACGCGGATTCGCGCCCGGTCCCTCTCGTAGACCGAGCAGTACCTCCACGAATTCCGCAGGAGCTGAAAGCATGGAACCCGTTCCGGAACCGGATACAGCTGCTATAGAATTCGATCTCACAATCGGCTGTCTTTGCTCCTTTATTGGGCCCAATAACAGCGGGGCTCTGTGGGGCTCTCGCTGGGCATTCATCAAGGGCGGTTCTAGGGCCGAGGGTTCCGGATTCGGGGATATGATGTCTCTCCATGCCGAGTAAGTGGCTGCGTGTCTACCTATAATGATTATATTCTCGGGCTCAACCTCACAGCCGGGAGTTGAGGTCCCGGGTATCTACGATGACTGTGTTTAGCCTGTTATCAGGGCACACTTCTTCCTTCATCGGGCAGCGCCACGGCGGCCTTTCACGGAGCGGGAAGCAGGTTCAAACCAGCAGTGCCTGGAACGCTAATCACTCGACTCCCTGTCGGCGGAAGAGCTCCTCCGAATAGAGAGAAGCGGATGAGGGCCCGACATTTTCCCAGGCCTGATGTTACCGTAAAGAGACCCGGCAGACCCAAGCTACCTCACTCGACAAGTCTCTTTCGCGCGGGCATTCAGGGCACTAACAAAATTATGAGAAAGTAGCCACCCCCCTGTGTCGCATAAAGAGTCTCGGGTATCACCGATCACTGCATTTCCTCGCTCTTGGAAGGTCCTCGGGATATTTCCACCGCGTCGCAGGCTCCGAGCTGTCCTCGGCACTCGATCGAGATGGCCGAACTTCTAGAGCGGGAGCAAAGCCTTAAGAAGCGCCTGAGACTCCAATTTCGTGGAGCGCCGGCCGCGGCATCCCGGAAGGTTTCTGGAGGAATTTTCATCCTATGACGAAGAGATCCCGCGTCAGATCCGTGACCAGAGTCGACTCCCGGTGACGGGCTGTGACCCAGCTTGATCAAGCTCGAAGAACATCGGTGTCATCAAGGAACGGATGGAGCACCGTGACGGAATACGAGTCGGACCCTCCGAATAGCTATCGAATTTAATAATCTGACAGAATTCGGGAGGCGCGGAATTGCGGGTGTACCCCGGGAATCAGGCGGAAGGATCGGAGGGAAGGCCAATAATTCAGAGATTTCTTGGTTGTCTCTTCGACGATTCAGATCAATTGTTATTTATGCGAGTGGAATATTGAGGCACAGCTGGAGCGCCCTCTGACTTTTCGGACTGATGGAGATGTTAGGGGGAACGAAAACCATCAAGAGGTAGTTGGAGGGTGTGTTATCGGAGCGTTGTATCCCGTCAGCAGCACCATGTGTCCTGATCGACCTCAATGCTCTTTCCTTCGCAGTCCTGGAGCACCCTCTCTCCGGACGTCTCTCCACGCACGTGGTACAGGCATGCCTCGTCGAAGTCAGAGGCCGGAAAGGAGCAGTTGAGCCACGAGTGCCTTCCTCGTCAGGACGTTCTCGGCCTTCGGTTTTGATTTGTCTGCTGCGCCTGAGTTTGCCCTTCTACGGAGCCCTGAAATTCGATGGTTGCCTCTTCAGTACCGGAATTCGAATCAGAGCCACTTCCTTCAGAAAAGTAGGCGCACCATAAATCGTCGCTTGTTTCGATGTGGAAGCTTCCAACTTCATCGGAAGCGGCCCCACGTTCTCTCGCAAACTCTACGGCTCTTACTTCGTACTGTTCATTTGTGATCTGAGCTTCCGACTTTGATCTGTAGCTTCATGTTTGAGCTCAACATCTTCTCAACTAGTCCCTGCAGAGCTCAGTGACCTTTGGGACCTTCCAGAAAGCCTAAGTCATCCGCAGTATAAAGTTTCGAAATAGTGATGCACGACATGACCGAGTCTTCAGATATAAGCTCAATGATGATGACACCAGTGTGAACCCACCCGTCTCCAAGTATCTACAACTCTCCTCTTAATTCCTCCGACACGTGCTCGATAAATTCGCCGAGGGAAAAACTAGGTGAGCAGAGAGCCTTCATCACATACGTAGCTCATCTTTAGTATGATTTCTCGATTCTCAGAGATGACAGGGTGCAGTGAAGTCTCGAACGAGGTCCATCCGCGGACCGCCGCCCCTATCTAACGGGGTTTCTGCGATCCTCGCAGTGGAGTGAATCTTTTTGGTCACAACTTTCGCAAGGCTGCACAAGATTCCTCCATTATTTTGTGCGAGCTATAGACCGATAGAGAGACGGGGAGCGGGCTTCTTCGGTGGAGCTCTCCTCCGGTTTTACGTGCAGGAGGAATCGTTACCCTGTTGAAAATCATTCTGCACGCTCCGACGGCATGGAGTCTTTTACGACAAACCTGTTCCTGAATTGAAGACGGGTCGTCGTAGAAACGGCATCCAACCCTCTCGCGAGTCGGTTTAGTGTTAAACGAATTTTATACATTTTCCTTTTTGCTTTCTTACTTAGTGATCCAACATTTATTGCAAAAGGAAATTGCTGTCTCTCGGCAAGCGCCAGCGAACTAGATACAGACGGCTGAGAGGGGCAGACGAGGAGAAACGAGAGAGTCTGTCACGAAACTACAAGAGGAGCCAACGCACTGAATAAGTGTCTCTCCGTTTTTCCTTTCTCGGTTCCGTGCCAAGGATCTCAGCTCTGGCCCTCCCCTTTTCCCCCGTAGTCTTGCCCCGTCCCTATCGAACGTCCCCGGCTTTGATTTTTTGATTCCGGTATTTTACGATTATTTCGTCGTCCTGTTCGGAGCAGACGGGAAAAAATCATGTTTTTACGATGAGCGAAAGACACGAAAAATCAAGTTATACAGCTCTGAGCTAAAAACTCGTAGATGACTCCACATAAGACGAGTGCCAGACGAGACAGCCAGTGGTAAGATGCCACGAAATTCCCCGCAAGCGGGCGGAGGGCCGGGAGCACTTTATGTTCTTCGGAAAGATTCTGAGCGAAACGTTTTTAAGAATCTTCCATTAATGAGAACAACAGTGTCAGCAGCGACGGCGGGATCGAGTGCTGCAGCGGTTTTCGGTGTAGAAGCCTCTGCGGATTTTACAGTCGAAGCTCCAGAGAACGCTGAATTCGTAGCCGTTGGCGCATTCTCGGAAATACTATCGGCCGCCACGTTCCGTCAGATGCCACGATTTTTCACGTTCCTCCCGCCGCGATCTCATTTTTTTCACGTTTGAGCGCTCCCGGTCGGATGTCTTTTACGTATTCTACGCTCCGATCGCTCCATGGTTGTCTTTTCCACCGCGGTTCTCGCGAACCGCTCGCGGACTTTCAAAATTTCGGGTTACGCACCGAGGATTTTCCCGTAGTTTTGAAGCACGCCCGGGCTCCCCATTCCGAGACGCGGTTTTGGAATCAAAACTTCCGAGAGATGAATGCGCTTCGAGCTCGATTGCGAAAGCATGCAATCCTCGGGTCAGCGGTGCTCCGAGCCCGGAGCTCGGATAGCAGATGTCTGTATCATGATGATGAAGCTTCAGATCCGCTGATAAGTCAATCTTATGGGAGTGCCGAAGAAAAAACATGAGACGTTTTTCCCAAACAGCGAAGTATTATGCCCCCCCGAGTCGGATGGCAACGGCTGGCAGGGCAGCGGGCCCCATAAGAACAACAACTGCGTCACCCCGCGACTCAAGCATTCCCCAATATCAACCGCACAGCCTATTTTTTCCCAGCGTTCTCTGACATCGCTCCCGTTCTGTTCCCTCTTCGTTTTCTTCCTACATCCCCGTGGGTGATCCGCACTGAGACAGGAACGGGCGGATTGAACCAGAGAGCATGCGGCTACTCGGCAATAGAACATTATGCGCTAAGGAGACGCGGGGGGCAGGAACGGGGAACGAGGAGTATACAAGGCAGAAGAGGTGAAAAATGTCCTTGGTCGACAGAAGAGAATATTCTCGAATATGTCGCGTGGACTTCGAACGCGACAACTCAGACGATGTCGTTTTCCGACGTAAATCACACGAGCAGCTCTGCCGTTCCACCCAGCAGCTGTCCTCAGTGATGGCGGAACCTGCCAAGAATTGTTGATAGTGGATTTGCAGTCCTTGGCGGCTCGGGTACGGTCGCTCCTGCTGAGGCAGCTCGCGCGGCTAGGATTACAGGCGCTGATCCGCGGGCTTTGCCGAACCTTTACTCCACGTCCCCGTTCTCCCGACCCACACGCAGGCGGGCAGTCAAGTCGAAATTGTTGACTACGCTAGTTGTCGCCTAAGACCGGGTCTCCTGGCGTGGCGCTTAAGTGAGGGGAAAATTCAGCGAGATCCCGCCGGCGGTCCCTCAACTTCGCTCTGAGAGTTCCCAAGAACCATTCGATATCTGCCGGGCCACTTGGCGACGATTCTGATGATGAGACTCGAGCATTGCTTGTTCAACGCGACCACATCGCTTCCTCATTGGCTGTTGGGGAACCCACCGGAATTCCGTGAATCGTGAACGCTCCCCCTCGTCCAGGTCAGACTTTCTACGGAAACATCAGA